AAAAGGATTTCTCTGCGGAGAAAAAAGGATATTTGTTATGATGACGGAACCATTTTAAGTAAAAATAAATTTAAAAAACTATAGTGAACAGTTCTAACAGTGGTTAAAGAACATTTGAGTAACCTGAAGAACCTTTTTCCAATAGACTTTTGAAAATATATGGTTTAAAACAGGGTCTTCACAGCAGTTCCATTGAAGAACTATTTTGGTTCTCCAAAGAATCTTTCCGTTTTTAAAAGAACCATTTTACTTGGCTTAAAGAGCATTTAAAAAATTTAAAGAACTTTTTCCACTACATAAAAAAAACGTTTGTACATTCGCTCTTAAAAATAAAGGTTCAAAAAGGGGAGTTATACAACAATTACATAGACGAACCATTATTGGCTCCTCGAAGAAATTTTCAGTGATCAGTTCTTAAATTATCTCATTTTTTTAACTCTAAAGAACCTTAAAGTTTCTAAAGTTTCCATAGATGATAAATGTTCCTCATGGAACCATAGATGCCAATGAAGAACCTTTATTTTCAAGAATGGACTTTTTTTTCACACGACAGACATATTGCAAATCACTCACAACACACTAGCATCGTGGCCTGGAGTTTATGATGTTCTTCAAAAAACGTAAAAGTCAAGTTCTTTCTCCTGCTTGTTGTCTTTAATATAGTGTTTTCCTTGTCTTTGTGCTTTTCTAAATGTAAATCTTGATTATTGTGGATCTACAAAGGCAAGTCCAGATCACACAGGCCATGTGATGTAGTGGGCACACAGCTGTGGGGAATTACAGGCCCCACTGAAAAGCAGAAAAAAGATGAGATGAAGTGGATGAAAATACTGTTGGGCACTCCTCTAAAAATACAGCACTGGACTGTAATTAGTGGTGGTGCGCTTAGCTACAGCAGCTCCACAACGCCTCTAATTACCCCACTGCAGAGCTCCAGCCGTGGGTGTCAGTCCGATCTGCCGAGCTCCACCAGAACAAATGTTCCATTTTTTGTTTGCCCTTCTTCTCCTGCCAATCAGTCCTCCAACATGTCTTCTTCATCTCGTGTGTCTTCACACATACGCTCTGTGGTAGTTGTTTTTTTTTATTTTATTCTCTCTCTGGCCTCTGTCTCTGACCACAGTGGAGCAGGAGAAGGATCTGCTGCAGCCTCGGCCGTACTGGAAGGAGTTCCGCTTCGATCTCACTCCGCTTCCTCAGGGAGAGACGGTCACTGCTGCTGAGTTTCGCATCTATAAAACTCTTACCATGGGTTGGCGTGCAAACCGCACCCTCCATATCTCTGTCTATGAAATCCAGAGGGAGAAAAGACACAGGTCACAGTCATACATGATCATTTATACATATTTGTAGTACTGAATCTGATTCAGGAAACTAAGACATCATTTGATTTTAGTGTTTAGGAAACATAAATCATTGACATGAAATTAGTAGTTCTTCGTTCATCAATGTCCCTGAGATCCATTGTCGGTCATTATAATGGAAATGACATTAAGATCTTGTGGTTTGACAGGGAGCCTGAGCTGGTGTTGCTGGACATGCAGTCTGTGCCTGCAGGTCAAGAGGGCTGGCTGGCATTTGATGTGACTTCTGCAAGCAATCGCTGGCTTCTCCCCCCTCGGAGCAACTTGGGCATCCGCCTTTATGTGGAAACTGAAGAGGGTGAGCTATTCCTTATGCACAGCATGGAGGTTAAATAACTCTGAAAGCAGTCTAACTAACATCATTGGATGTTGCTTCTCACTTCAGATTTGACACCATGTGACACCACAAAAATAATAATAATAATAATAATTATTATTATTATTATTAAAATAGTTACAAAAATAAAGTAAAAGATGATATATAATCTTTTGGGGTTTTTTATTTTATTTTTAATATTTAATATATAAAATAACAAATATTATTAATATATTAATAAATAAACTTTTTTGGTCTTGACTCTAAAAAACATTTGTCCTTTTGCCTTAGTTGCTCAACCCAACTTGATTTAACATGGATGGAGTTTTTAATGTTTTTCAATTTCAGTTCTATTCGTGCTTTTAAATTCAATTGCTCATTGTAGCCTTACTCTAGCTTAAACAGTAGAGCATGGCACTAACAACCCCAAAAGCATCTGCCTAATGCATTAAAAAAGTTAAATGTTTACAATCATTAAATATATTGCTAAATATTTTCCCATAACTCATACTACAAATCTTGTGTTTTATCTTTAGACCAAGTCTCACAAAAGTTACTGAAGGAGTTTTTGATTTTTGCAATCAACTGGTATTGAATTCTGATATAACAAGCAACAAACATTTGGTCTAAATTTATGAAAAACAGGTTGTATCTTGGCAATGCTTTGACCTACTGAAGCAAAACACGTTCAGTGTCATGGGTCAAATGGTAAAATGCTGAAATTTTGTTTTCACAGACCGGTCGTTGTCAGCCGCATGGGTGGGTCTGGTGGGTCGGCGTGGGCCGCGCTCTAAACAGCCTTTCATGGTGACGTTCTTCAGAGCCAGTCAAGCCCCTTGCCGCCCACCTCGTGCTCTGAGACACAACAATCCACGCAAGAAAAAACCCAAGTATGACCTGCCACACCCAAACAGACCCGGCATATTTGGTGAGCCACAATAAGCGGTTTAAGAGGCAGATTGTGTTTAAAGGAGCATATGAAATTATTTGTTTTTGAGCTATGTTCATCTCACTTGTTCCAGACCAAACTCATGCCAGCAGTGGACGCCAGGCCTGTAAGAAACATGAACTCTATGTCAGCTTCAGCGACCTTGGCTGGAAAGTGAGACATCCTGGCTTTTATACATTTACGCATTCAAACAAGAAGTTAACAATAAGTCACTTACATTTTAGACACAGTATTAAAAGTTGATCTGTATATTTTTGCTCTGCCACCGGAAAAAGTTCTAAAACAGTGAACAGTGTTTTTAAACAAATCAATTGAGTGAATTGATTCAGTGATTCACTTATCGCCACACATACAGACACGAAAGTCTCTGTGCTGTTAGAATGTTTAAATATTTAATTGATAAAATTCAATTTTTTTTCTTTCAGGACTGGGTTTTGGCCCCTACAGGTTATTCTGCGTATTATTGTGATGGGGAATGTGATTATCCTCTGGGCTCTTGTATGAATGCCACAAACCACGCCATGATCCAGCTACTGGTGTGTAATCTCTACTTTTGATATTTCTGTATGTGATTTTCTAAACTGCATTGCTAGGAGACGTCTTCAAAATGAACTAATTGTTAAACCGACTCCTCTTGGCAGGTTCACCTTTTAAGACCAGATGAAGTGCCCAAAGCCTGCTGTGCTCCAACTAAACTCAGTCCCATCTCTGTGCTCTTCTATGATGACAACAACAATGTTATTCTCAAGAAACATCGAAATATGGTGGTCAAGAACTGTGGTTGTTTATAACCTCTTGTACATTCAAGTTTTAAATCCGAAACAAATGTAAATGTATTATAATACTCAGAGGCACCATTTGTAATATACAGTGATTAAAAATGTATTTAGCCAAATTTGAGTGTTCTTACCTGTCCTACATGATTGGCAAATTATAGTTATTGAAGTGTCATGATGGTTTATCAGCATATTTGTCACAATTTTATTGTGAGTGGATTTAGGATTGGAATCCATCCCATAATAATAAAAAATACATATTTTGTCTAGCTGTCTTACATTTAAACTGTCCAAATTCTATATTTGTGGAATGTTATGTTTCACACAGTTGCATTGTTTTGACTTTCAAATCATTTTTTCTTGCATCTACAACTGGTAAAATGCTTTTAAAAGAACTTATACCACCCACACCCATGGGAAGAAAAGAGACTAATTCAGTCTAAGTAGGCTGCAAACATGGACAAAATCATTTCAGTAGCATTCAGTAGTTTGGCGCTAATTTAGTTCACCCAAATGAAAACAATGCCATCATTTACTCACCCTCATACTTCCAAACCTGTATGAGTTTCTTTTTTGAGATATTTTTAAGAATTCCCCGTGTAGCTTATGGGGAACAAAATACTCTGTCAGTCAGTGGCTACAGTCAAGGGTTTAGTTATCCACATTCTTCAAAATAGCTTCTTCTGTGTTCAGCAGAAGAAAGAAATGTATACAGCTTTGGAACAATGAGTAAATGATAAGAGAATTTTTATTTTGGGTTAACTACCCCTTTAAGAAGTAAGTTTTTGAAATGATTTCTGAGAAAATCCTCAAGTTCATTGGCTGCAGGCCTCTGCAGATATGCAAGTAACATTGTGTAGTGTGGTGATGCCAAAAGCGAAAATTACATAAGGTAACAGCTTATTAAAGTGCTTTACCAACAGAGACAACGGGGCAATCAGTACATGTACGGCCGAAGAAGCAGACAATGTTTGAAACCAGAAAACAAAGACAAAAAATAACGTAAACTTCGGTATAGCGTTCACAATGTGTGAAGATTTGCTGACGGAGAACATCTTAAATAGTGGTGCCCAAGTTGCTTCTTACTTGTTGGACGGGTAAAGGAATTTTTTTTAAACCACTCTATAAAAAATAGTACCTTACTTAGTCAAACGGAGACTGTGGTATCAGTGCTTAAAGGTGAATTAGGAGATCTTGGAAAATGCTAACTTTAGCCCAGGGCTGTCCAAACTCGGTCCTGGAGGGCCGGTGTCCTGCAGAGTTTAGCTCCAACTTGCCTCAACACACCTGACTGGAAGTTTCTATGCCTAGTAAGAGCTTGATTAGCTGGTTCAGGTGTGTATAATTAGGGTTGGAGCTAAGCTCTGCAAGACACCGGCCCTCCATGACCGAGTTTGGACAGCGTGCTTTAGCCTGATAGCACTGAAAGCAAATGTCCCACCCTCCCTGCAAATCGCAGTCCAGAGCCACGCCCCCTGAACGCATATACGCTTACGGATCAGACGACCAGAGACCATATTACTACAATACATCATGTTATTCACCGGTGAGAAAACGTCATACTACAGTTAGTAAAAGTACTACAATACCAGGAAGGAAGATCAGGTTGATGTTTGCCTGCCATTCCCACAATAGTATCCAGCTGCAACCCCGCAGCCCCACACGTTTCAGGACACACAATCCAGACCATACGATCCAGGCCGGAAGTGAGGGGCGGAGTTAGTAAAACGTAACAACATGGCGGAGAGCAGGGTGAGTAAAGTTTTCACAAAATTTTGTGATGAAAAATTCGTTCAAAAGTTAAATGTTTATGTTATAAATACTGTTTATATGCATGCCTTTCACGTTTTATTTCTGAAGCTTTGAATTGTTGTCATCCTTTACCATTTTCGGGACTTTTCTGCGGACAGTTTGATTACGTTTTAGGTTGTTTGTTGTAAATGGGCTTTGCGATAAAGCCACTTTATGGTTTGAATTTATTACTTTTTGATATATTTAATGCTTTCTTATAATTCTATTAGTTTCATTGTTTGTTGGTTTATTTTATGCTATTCTAGAGCATTGTAAGTTTGTTATTGTCTTTTTCAAATAACAGAGAACGTGTGTTATGCAATTTTTAATTTTATCTCCTGTAGAGACATACTACAATTCAGAGAGGTAAAGAATTACCTCAGCTGCAACAGTGCCAAAACTGTTGCAGCCTTTATCATTGCCCTTTCTGCAGGACATTTAAGCCAACCAGACTGGACAAATTAACATTGCATCTGCAGAGCCATTCCAGCAAGGCAGTTGTCTATGATGATATGGGTATCTTGAGTTGTTTTATTAATATGTGTTGTAGTATAGTTAAGTACTTTACTAATGTAATGATTTATTTGTTTTAGACTTCACTATACACCGATGTGGGCTGGGCTGTAGACCTGCACTTCATTATCACTGTCCATACTGTGGAACTACAGCTTTAAAGAGAAGGGATTTTGAACACCATTTACAAATTTGCAAAAATAAATCGCTTCCCACTTCAGACATAACAGATGTTCAGGAAACCCCATCAGCAGCAAGTGTAACGGTGACCACACCGGCAGTGAAAAAAGCCCCGTTACCAACATGTGAAACAGTGACCACACTGGCAGTGAAAAAAGCCCCGTTACCAACATGTGAAACAGTGACCACACCGGTAATCTTACCAACCACTATTGTTTCCTCAGGCAGGGTCCGTGTACAGCCTGTCATTAAAAGAAGATGCCCTATTTGCAGTGTCCTCATGAATAGAAAAAACTTAAAAAAACACATTGACCGGAAACACATCGAACAACCAATGCAGGATATTAGTGCTGCATTTCATCTTACAAGCCAATGTGTTGATAAGACCAATGGTATATTTACCGTTCTTAAAGCTACTAAAGGACAGAGTGTTCCACTTCATGTTCAATACAAGACATGGGGAGAAGAACATAAGGTCCTCTGTGAAGTAAACGAATGTCAAGTCAACATGGAAGTTGCACGGAGAAGTGGGCTCTTCTCTTACCAATGCAAGCACATAAAATCTGTAATGTACTGCACATCCTCTGCAGAACCTGTCACTTTGAAAGAGGAGGTTTTAACAGAAATGGTAAAAGCAAAGTGGTTCGGTAGCGAAAAGAAAAAAATATGCCTTACTCGGCAGCAACTTGCTGACGGTCACTGTATGCCAATCTCTGTTCAAACTTCAATTGACATCCCACAAACCAAAAAATTCATTTCCGTATTTGAACCCAGTGTATCCTATTACAGCCGGTTGGGACGTGTAATGGTTGTCTATGATACTAAATTAAACACATGGCACTGCCCCTGTGCAAAATCTAAATGTTCATGTGTGCACAAATATATTGCAAAGTGGCACCTGTTTCAAACACAGCGTGACCTGTTTCGGACAGTCTTCAGCACAGAACATTCACCAAACAAAAGGCCACATCCCCAGTCAGAGGAGGAGGAGGATTTCACAAATGAGAGTCCTGTGTATCCGCCAAAAGGTCTGGGACTAAAGAACATGGTATCTTACATTTTTCAGAACAAAAAGATACCCGCTGTTCTGCCAGATGATGTTAGGGTTCCATCACCAGAAAAAAATTACCCAAGAAGCCTCTGTCCTTATGAAACTATGTGTCAGAGATGTCCAGGAGTTGTCCCCCTCAGTGATCCTATTTTAATTACAAGAAAAGCGAAAATACTGTCAAACTGGCACATAATTGAAGGTATGATGGGATAGTTTCAATGTGTGTTTGCTAATAAGCTGTGTTGTCCTCTGATGTATTATTTCTTTATATTTTAGATGTTGCCACTTACAGTAAGCAGTGCCCGCTGTGTGGTATGTTTTACCACTATCAAGAATGGAAAGACGGCTTGCATAATTTTAATGATCACATCATACTTGACCTGCCCTTATGCCTGACTTTGAGAGGCCTTCTCCAGGTAACTTTAAACTTGATATGACTGTATATGATTTTGTAAAGAACATTGTTTATATAGTATACATATGTTTTCAGATGTTTGTGTGTGTTTAAACACATTTCGTTTATTTCAGGTCCACACTGCTGTTAGTAGAGCAGTCGATTTTTTACAAGATTTGACCGGTTATACGTTTCCACCAGCAGATACGGTACTGCATGCCTATTTACATTTTGAAGCCCTCACAGAACAGGAGTACACATATTCATGTGTCACCTGTGGTGATTACCCCCCTGTTGTGATAATGGATTTACACAAGAAGGGTGTTTTCCAGTTTTCTGGTATGTGTATTGTAAACAGTTTTACTTTCAAGTTACTTTTTAAATGTTCTTTTGAGGTGTCGTTATTGTCATTGTAGAATATGCTTTTTTTATAGTAAGTGACGTAGAAGAACCTCCAGAGAGCTTTCAAGGGGAGGTGAATCTAGAAACGTTCTGGGAGGCTTTGTCCAAAGAGATGATATGCCGTGGATTTGTTACAAGTATGTGCAAACATACAGTGTTTAATACACTATGTTGCAAAGAAAGCAAAGTAATGCAACACCTGTTTTTAATGCTGCTGTTTTAGGTGGTGCACATAATCCATTTGCAGTTCCACCTACTTATCACTTCTGGGCTCCTTGGATTGGCAAGAACACACGTCGTTCGGACACTGTGCTAAACACAGAGTTTGAAAAACGTCATGCTTCAAAGTTTTCATCAGAGATCTCAGAAATTACAGTTACCAAGGAGAGGCTCAAGGAAGAACTTCGCAAACAAAAGGTTGGTTAATTGAACCTTTATTTGGTTAAATAATATTTTACAATGCATGCTATATACAGTAATATTTTTTTTGATAGGTAAATGTCATTAGGAGATTGTGCAAAGAATGTGGTTTAGACTCCACCGGATCTCGCAATGACCTCCTCCTCAGATTGTCAAAAGAAATGAAATCCAGGCAGACATATGATAAAATCTTTGAAAAAATTTGGGGAGCCTCTGGTGAGTTTAAATTCTAATTCTGTTTGAAATTGCCAATATATGAAATTTTTATACAATTTATGATATTACCAATACATTATCTTTTAAACCATTTTTAGTATGTTGTATATTTGTTTTTTATTGAATGATATTTTGAATGTAAGTTTGAATCTTCTGCTTTTAGTCTTGTCTTGGGCACCCAGTGACGGGTTCTTCTGATCATTATTATTATTATTGTCTGACCGTTTTCATGAAAGCAACACCAAAGACCATAGAGATGTTCTGAGGAAGATCACTATAGTGCCTCAACTAGCTGGCAAAATAAACAGCCAGGTTGCAGAACAACTGTTCTCAAAGATGAGGAAAAACAACTATTTTTTAAACATGTCTCGGCCTTCTACTCATTTGTTTCAAATGAGAACCATAATTCACCACTACAATGAAAAAAGGAACAATAAAGTGATGACCAAATTAAGGAAGACTTTTGGATCTAAGATGGTGGTGAATATGCATGGACAAGCTGTGTTGGGTGAAGAAAAATACCTTATATGAAATATTAAACACTGTTTTTACAATTGGTGGAAAGACATTGGCCACCAAACATAATGTGTGTTTTGAAGTAACTGAGTTTTGGATGTAACTTTAGATTTGTTTGTATTGTAACAGAAAACATGAACATCTCCAGTGAGGAAACCACAGAAATTGAGATGGAGGACACAACCCTTACATCTGTGACAGTCCCAACCAGTAGGTGTTTATATATCTAGTAACTATTCATTATTTATCTTGATATATAGTTTATAAGCGGTTTTAATCAGTTATCCACATTTTTCCATTACAGCAGAAAATGAAATGGTGTGTAACATCAAACACCTGTCTGCAAATAGAGTGTGCTGGGATTGTCTACCAAGTCATAGGCAATCAGAAATGGTACATGAATGATTGTTTTCAATTTTATGTTTTGTTTAATGGCTTAATACAACACCATGTGCCTCATAAATAAAAATGAATAAAGTTTTTGTTATATCTCTTTAAGCTTGACTGGGCCTTGAGAATAGAGAACCCAGATGAGACAATTGCTGAAATTGACAACATTGTCCTGAAAAGAAAAGATTTTTGGACGCTGGGTCTCAATGAGCAGTTGGAGGCAACAGTGAGTTGAAAAATATTAACTTTGAAACAAACGTCATTGACTGTTTAACTGTAACCGTTTTATTTAAAACATTTGTAGATTGCAAACAGCTGTCTTGAAGTGGTTGCATTGGTGGCTAAAGAACAGGTAAGTTTGATTAAAGCTGCTTTTCTGAAATGGCTCAAGACATAATTGTGTAACTTGTGCTCACTTGTGCAATGGTATGTCACTGTAGGGAATGGATGTGTGGACAGCTGACGCATATGTTGTGGCTACCTGGTTACCTCCAAATAATTTGGACCCATCACTGTCTTTTCCAGTAAGGCCATAAAGTTACATCACATTCATAATACTGAAAATGTAATTTAAATCTGACTTAAAAAAAACTTTTTATTAAAAAAAATGTATTTTAAAATTATCTATAGGATCACATTGCATTCAAAGATGCTATTGTCTTTCCTGCTTGGAAGCCAGGACACTGGATGTTGTGTGTAAGTTATATGGAATTTGGTTACTAAATATATAATTGCATCTGTAAATTGCCTTCATTTGTCTTGTCACAATTCAAAATTACCATTGCACTATTGCAACCTACTAACACACTGTTTTCCAGGTAATGAAGCCAAAAGATAGACAAATCTACTTCTTAGATTCAACCAATCCCTATGGGTTGGGTGATGAGTGCTATGTGCACATTTTCAGGTTGCTTAAATGTGAAAATGTTCATGGTTCGCTGTTCATAAGGTTTGCCTTCAAATGTTCAAAATGTTGGCTTAATGGTTATTTGGATGTTTGCATGATGTTCTGAATTTGCGTGTGTGTGACAATTGTTTTATTTTCTGAAAGGCCCAGTTACTGGGGGCTACTGTTTTTGCAGATTTTCTTTGTATTCATACTCTTTCATATGAACTTTGTTGTTATTATTTGTGTATTTTTGTTTCAGTAAGATGACAGCTAAAATTGCACCTGGCACATGGATGCTACTAAAAAACAAGGTTAATTTTGTAATTGGGACATATGTCAATCTCTTACACACAACCTAAATATTTTTCTTTTTCATTTTTTTTTAAGGATGTCCCCCAACAGATTGGCTATGTGGACTGTGGATTTTCATTCAGGGAAGACATGGAGATTTTTTTAGTTGAATGCCATGAAAAAATGGGGTTAAAATTGAATTCTTCGTTTGAAGAGTGAAAAGTATAAGACTTTCAAAAGCTTTTTTTTTTTTTTATATTACAATTAAATTTCTAAATTTTAATTTTAGTTCTATTTTTGGTTGTTGAAATGTTTTTTTTTTATTAGTATGTTGCACTTTTTCCATGTTCAATTTGAATTTTAAAATAAAAAGTATTCTTGACATCAAACGTCCATTCTCTGTGTCTTTAAGTATTTGTTATAAAACAAACATGACCTAAATATCTCATCATAACCTACAGTCAAAAAAAATATTACGGTTTACTAGATTGATCAAAATTAATATCAATTTAAAAAATAAAATTGTTTTTTTATATAATTTTTTAGTATTTTGTATATTATTAAATATTGTAAATCCTATCAAAATTCTTGGGATAGCTCATATTACATCTAACAAAAGAAATTTGCACTACAAAACTGCGACAGATCCACCGTTAACCATATATGGTTCGCCTTACTTCCGGTCTGGATTGTGTGTCCTGAAACGTCACTTCCGGCCTGGATCGTGTGGTCTGGATTGTGTGTCCTGAAACGTGTGGGGCTGCGGGGCTGCAGCTGGATATATCTCGCCATTCCCGCTGTCTGCACAACTTGCATGATTGCGCTGATGACGTATCCTTTCTGCGCGAACCAGGTGCGCAGAGGTATGCTAATACACATGTTGACGGGCAGGTAGGAAAGTCTGAGCATTTTTATTGGACGAACATTTCTTGGTCCTACTTCCACAGTATATATAAATACATATAAATTCATTTAGACCACTTAATGATTGCTATCGGGATATAAAGAGACTTTCAACCAACATGACAAAAAATGTTTCTGAAGACAATCACCTATTGCACCTTTGAAGTACACGAAGATCAGCGATGCAAACGCTAAGTAAACTACTACTGAATGCAGTTTTAATACAAGTATTTGTTAACTAAATTCTCTTTACGTTTTTGTAAATAGTGTGGAAAAATCCAATGCTAAAGAGCTATTTTCACATTAATAGTTACCATTACAGCTTTTCAGTTAATAACACCCGTGCTCTTGATGTTCTTTCTAGTAACCATGACACGCATATAGACTATATGCATATACATTTATTGAAAACTTTAGAAAACAAAGTAACAAAAGCGTATCCGTGGGTCCTGACTCATATTATTCTGACAACTTTAACAGGTGCAAATTTACAGCATTTGTAATCATTTTGAGCATGTCAATCAATGAATCTCAATTCCAATCCTGGTCAGTACTATTAATAACACACACATTGGTGCACCGCTCCATTGTGGTTCACAGTTAAAAGATCAGGGCACATATATTTTTATACATTGCAGCACCTAATCCATTTGATAAAAAAATCAAAATACAGGGACAGATTGTGAAGTGGGGCATTGGTGAATAAATATGTCAAGTTTAAGCACATGGCAATGAGACGGTTAGGTCACAGCACACTCGGAAATGATGGAAGAAATATGCACATATAAAAATATCAAGAAATATATGTGTGCGCTGGTGTGCTCGAGTCCGTCCTAAGATCTCCTTGTTGTTGTGTCCACATGGTCCATGGTCAATGTTATACAGCAAGTCGAGTCAGTCGGCCGAGTCGAATCAGGTTTCTTTCCCCGGGTTCTGAAAATTGGACCATAATTATGACATGACTATACAGCCATATTGACAGGTTTACATTTTGTCACAATATTTTGGGCTTGATTCTGATGTCTGTATAAGACTCACCCCTGTTTTAGGTCCATGTTGGTTTCTTGCATCCTTTAGGCTTGAACATCCACCAGCTCAGGAGGCATAGGAGATTTTGGGTGTTTGCTTTCAAAATGCTGTTTAAAGGTCTTGGGGTCTGGCATCTGTGTCTACACAAGGAATAACAACGTTTCTTAATAAGGTAAGAGAAGTTTGAGGTACAGTGGTACCTCAGAGAACCAACTCAAACCAGTGACCCTTCGGCCATAACTTAAGTCACATAAATTTCTCACCTTGCAGACAGGACATGTGTGGACCAGCGCTGCTTTGGCTGCAGTCTTCTGATCCGCTCCTTGAGCTTTCTTCTTCTCAGCTGCTTTCTTTGCGTTCTTCTGTTGAGACTGGATCTTCTGCTGCCCACGAGCCATGGCCTTCTCTGAAACACATACATCAGGCATACTGACTCACTCAAGCAGACAGTCTCACTCACCTTTCATTGTATCTCTCGTTCCATAGAGTGAATGGTGACGGACTGAGGAAAGTCATAAAGGATTGAAACAACATTTAGATGAGTAAACGATGACAGAAATTTCATTTTGGGGAGAATTATCCCTTAAAAATATGCCTAAAGCGATAACTACATGATTTACACAAGTGAAAGAAATCGGACAATCTAACGACAGGGTTTATCAGAAAATAAATCATCATAACGATAATAAACGTTAAAAATATTATACATGTTTATAATTAATGTAAAATACACGCCCAGAAACGTATAGATCACGAGAAGTGTCTTTCCCTGGAAGAGAACCCGAAAATCGCAATATAGAGACCGCAAAGATCACATTAGCTAGTAGCTCATCCGCCTTAATCAAAACTGATCCAAACGGAGTAGTGGCGATGTACAAAACGGCTCAGATTAAAAATAACATTATTATTAACCATAAACGCCTTTAAAAACAACAAACATGATATTTATAAGGTGAAGGGTGGCAGATTGGTCAATAGTTAAAGACAAATACCTCGCTTTAAGACACGGTAGGAAGTGAAGCTCGACTGACGCTATTCAACAGCTTCCGTCGGAAAGACTTACATAATAAAGGTTTTCCTACTCAAACTGATAAGATGATGATTTAAGATGGATAAGTTGATTAAGTACTTTTATTTATTTTTATTATTGTAATAATTGTATGTGTGACTGGTTTGAAGATGGAGTATTCCCAAACAAAAATGAGCGAGGCTAAATGTTGACGTTGTAATACATGTGTTAGCCTCTGTGTGGCTGCAGTATTCAGTGATGGGAGAAACGGAGCCTTCTGAATCTTTAAATTAAAAAAAATAAAAAAAAAAAAACATTTTTAATTCGTTTAATGATTGGCTCGAAACACCACGCGCTGAGGCCATCTGCTGGTCACATGCATGTTAACGCAATGAAAAGAAACAGCAACTAATGCTAGGATATTTCTGCCGCACTTTGAAATCTACACATTATATTTACACATTTATGAATCTTCGCAGAATATGTCAATTTTAAGTTCGTGTCCATGCTAATACATTTTTTAACACAACAATTAAATAATTGTATTTCTCAGAAAGGAATGAGTGGTCAGTTGTCTATTTAGTTTGTACACTTTTATTTTGACGAGTGTATTCACAAAAAGTTTGCGGAAGTTGTGTTGGTGTACTTCCGTAGCAAAAGACAAAAATGGCAGAACGAGGATACAGTTTTTCTCTCACAACATTTAGGTAATTCTGTAATTTATTGATTGATAGATGGTTGTAATATTTCATTATAAATCTCTTGTTGCATGCATTCAGTGAAAATAGTTGTGTTTTGTTTGTCATGTGTGTTACACGTACTTAATTGTATGCCACATCAGAGATGCAGTGTCACGATGTTGGTTACTATGGAGCTTGACTACTGATGCTCATTTATCTCTTTTAGTGCTTTATTTTTTTTACTGAACTTATTTATTCCTCTGTTTACTGTATTATCCCAAGTAATTGTTCACTGTCCTGTTTTATTACATGTTTTACTACAGATTTTGTTTAATTCTCTGGCGAATATTATTTGTTGATTCATTAATATTTTGTGGTTTGTACTATATTCAGTGACATAATATTAAAAAAGTATGTAAAAGTTAGTATGAAGCTTTCGTTCAAGCTGAGAATCACGGTTTTAAATGATAAAAATCTTTGATGACATTTGAAATGATGTAAAATCAAAATTATGTATTGGTCGAAAAAATAAGTTATACATTCAGCTTCAGATGATTTCAGATGTATTTCTGTCAAGCTAATGCATTTATTATTTATTTATTTTCCCCCCAACACAGCCCCTCTGGCAAACTGGTGCAGATTGAATATGCTCTGGCAGCTGTAGCAGCCGGTGCTCCATCTGTAGGAATCAAAGGTATGTTTATATATAGATCAGTGAATTAGAAACTTCACAAACCATGATCAAATCAAAATTACATGGTTATTTTTTTAAATGGAATATCTGATGCAGAAACGCTTCTGAAAGGGCATTTAAGTGTCATTGCCCAGACTGCTACTCGGAGAAGACCGAAATGCATTTAAACAGGAATCAAAACTATATACTTTGATACTAGGGCGGTGGTGGGTCAGATTTGCTTATTTCTAAGGGTTTGAGAACCACAGATTTAAACTACAGTAGGCAACATTTGAAGTGGATCAAAACCTTTCATCAAAGTTGTCCTAAAACCAAAATGCGTTCTTGTCTTAGGACAACTCTGGTGATCTTTTTTGATCCACTTCAAATGTTGACTACTGTATATAGGCTACCTACAGTATACAGTTTCTCCATAGGTGCTGCACTTAAATCGTAAATTTGTTTTGAATGACCTTTTGTCATTATTTGCAGCATCAAATGGAGTTGTGCTTGCAACTGAGAAGAAACAGAAGTCCTTACTGTATGATGAACAGAGCGTGCACAAAGTTGAGCCCATAACCAAACACATTGGCATGGTGTACAGTGGAATGGGTCCTGACTACAGGTATGAAACAACAGTGCAGTATTTATTTCAAACCGATAGCCGATTTGTTCTAAAAATGAAACTCTTAAAATAAGCCCTTCTTAAAGAAACAGTGCACCCATCAATGGAAAATGTTATTTGTTATCTAGATGGTCTGTAAGGAATGATCTCTCTTGACAGGGTGCTGCTCAGGAGAGCAAGAAAGCTGGCGCAGCAGTATTTCCTGGTATACCAAGAGCCAATCCCCACAGGCCAGCTGGTAGAGAGAGTGGCTTCTGTTATGCAAGAATACACACAGTCAGGGTATGTTGACTTCTTTCTATCTTTTATTATACCTTACTTTAATTAGAGCTCTTGTAGTAATATTAGTGTCATGTTTTGTAGAGGTGTGCGGCCGTTTGGAGTCTCTCTTCTCATTGCCGGTTGGGATGAAGACAGACCATACTTATTTCAGTCAGACCCATCGGTACAACAAATAACAATCACAAGCTTTTCATCACTGTTTGTTCTTAATTCAACATGCAACCATTTATGTTGTGAAACCATGTCTGAATGGTGATATCCCACAGGGAGCATACTTCGCCTGGAAAGCCACAGCAATGGGAAAGAACTATGTGAATGGAAAAACGTTCCTTGAAAAAAGGTATCAAAGTAATCCACTTTTTGAATTATTGTAGTGTATAAGATGGAAATGATTTTGCAAAAGATTTACAGCGTGGCTTTGTACAATTTCATTACAGATATAATGAAGATCTGGAACTTGTTTCATTACAGATATAATGAAGATCTGGAACTTGAAGACGCTATACACACTGCCATCTTAACTTTGAAGGTGAGTTCATCTCTAAATAACCTCATATATCAGATTGCTCAAAACAAGATCTATAGTGTTTTCTTTTTCTTACAGGAAAGTTTTGAAGGGCAGATGACCGAGGACAACATCGAGGTGGGCATCTGTAATGAGGCAGGATTTCGCAGACTGTCTCCTGCTGAGGTGAAGGATTACCTGGCAGCAATTGCTTAAACAACAGCACTACAACTGCTTACACAGTTTACTATTTTGGTTTGGTTGTTAATTTGAATGCTGCATTTTTTGCTGCAACTGATTTCTCTATAAAAGTATGCATATTATTAACAAATGTTACATCCTGCGCATTTCACTATGACATTTCTTTGTGACTTTTGTACCTGATTGTAATTATGAATTACCTTGTAAGGTGTCGTGTGGGATCTGAACTGTTTTATTAGTAAAAAAGTGTTTGACAGGCAACAGATACGTATTTCAAGGCCTGCTTCGTCACAGTACTGTCTATGCTAATGGGATCTTTCCCTGAGGCTCAGTCTATGTAAATTTTTCAACATCAACATTTTTTTTTTATTTAACTCCAAAGTGTTGAACAAAGTCTGAAAGGTTGTAAACCTCTCCATATCCCACTCGAGCATCCATGCAGATGAAGTCATCGAGATTCATTTTAGATTCTGTGAAAAGAACACATACACTGTAAGAGGAAGAAGAACTCAAATCATGATATTTACAGAATTGTGGCAAATAACACAAATAATTTTACAACAAACCTGATGTCTCTAAACATGGGTATGGTGGGGGCGGCATACGCCAGTTCCCAACTGAATCCTTCATATGTGACCGATCAGAAGCAAACTTTTTCAAGTAGGTGTCGCCTGGTATGACACGAAGTTTCCTGAAATGCAGCAGATAACCGTTGATATGGCTAGTATTATAAACTTTTTGTTACAATGCAGTTCAGATCGGAAGAAAGCAGGTTTTAAATGCTCATCAGAACGAAAAGCCTCCTTTGAATATCCATCAAATAGGCAAGGGAAGGGAAGGATGGTGTCTAAATCATATATATAGCTCTGTCCTTGTTTATTTACGTGTAGAAGAATAACATGGTAATCCTAAAGGCAGGTGCACAAAAATATTATATATTAGTAAAAGGTAAATTAAAAAAAATCTACGATAATTTTTCCTTATTAAAAAATGCTCTTACCCAGATTACTGGTTGATCCCCTCGACTGTATTTTTGTTTCCAAATGGGTATCTGCATTAATTGTAAAATGACACACACACACACACAAATATATATATATATATATATATATATACAGTACACTAACATGATCGTTATATATGCGTAGAGACGTTAGTCAGCCTCACCATTTTTCTTTCATTAGATATAAAGACTACATACTTCATCCAACGAGCAAGCGCCCTGATCCTTGACATATTCACACATTTTACATACATTTTCCTCACTGCAGAAAAAAATAAAATATATTGTTAATTTAATAAAAATGAAGGTGCTAATGTGATATTACACCTACCAGTAGCAGCTGGACACTGGTTTATGAGTGATAATTATATATTCAGACGAGGCGCTTCCTTCTTTCATTCTTCCCATTCACGTGTTATACTATGATGTATTTTGATTATAACGACATTACGAAAAAACAGATATAATGGTGTTTGTTACAGTTTATTTTGTCCGTATCCGTAAGAAACTTTAGACAGGTTGGTCGTTCCGGTGTGTCAATGGGATGACGCGCGAACAGTCCTCATGTGAATTGCAAATGTAATGTGCGCAATTATCACTGTAATTGTTCAACGATTTCGCTAGTCTAAAAGCACAATTAAAAAACACGTTAGCGGTAGATAATGTGCAATTAGACATCTCTTTCAAACAGGCCTAAAATGGTTGATGGGTTAAACCAACCTAATTCTACATTTTCACAACAAAGATACGTTTCTCTTATTATTTACCTGTGTTAGGCTACACACTTCTGTTTAAAGTTCGGAGTCAGTAAGAGATACATTTTTTTTAAATACATCAATAGGCTACTTTACTTTACAGCTGCATTAAATTAATTGACAATGACCGATTATAATGATAATAAATTCTGCTCTTTTGTACTTTCTATTCAAATAATCTTGACTAGAATGTTTCACGGTTTCCACAAAAATATGAATCAGATAATAATTAGGCTATAGGCCGTAAATGTTTCAAATCAGCATAGAATTGTTTCTAAAAGACCATGTGACACTGAAGACTGGAGTAGGCCTAATGACATGAATGAATTACATTTAACAAAACATTTTTATAACATTTTCATAATATTTCGCAATGTTACTGTATTATAATTAACTAAATGCAACTTTGGTGAGACTTCCTTCAAAAATCTCAAAAAAAATTTCCTCGCAATTTTATAGCTCACAATTAGGCTACGACTTTTTGCTCAGAATCGCGAGCTTATATTCAGAATTGTGCGATTAAAAGTCGTAACTTTTCTATTTTTATCTGTAGCAGAAACAGTGGTGTGGCCTTTTATAAAGACGTAGGCCTACACACCTGATTCAGATAACTGACATGGGTTATTCAAATTTTAACTAATTTGAATACAAACTTTGGCATATAAAAAACACCGTGGCGGCGTTGAAATATTAAATTAATATGTAGGGTTTGAAAGTAAGTAAACAAACAAACAATTCTACATCAGCTATTTTTAATCAGATGTTGTCTTCTTTATAGCCTACTTGTTTCTCAAATCAAACAACGCATAAGGCTCTAGCCTTCGCTTAGCAAACTGAATTAACTTACACTGTGGACCTATTTAATTTGGGGGGAAATTACATTCCACCACTGAACTTTGCACTGTTGGTTACCTCATTTTGTATCAAACAAATCAGGCCCAATGTTTTAGACTAAAAAAACAAGTAAATCAACAATTAACCTCAATTCTTGTTGCAATGAATGTTTAGAGGAATAAGAAACCGCCCAGCCATTAACACCTCGTTTTTATGAACAGCACTTACTAACAGAATGCAACACCTTTAGACCATTGAGAGCTAAAGCATGGCTATAAATGGGGCCTGATCTCCTCGGTTTTCAGTCTGGACCAGAAGCTCATCATGACTAACGGTGTGAACGGAGGACTCCGCGGTCTGTTGGCAGAATCAAGTGGCGTTCCAAGAAGGAGATACAAAAGATACACTACGGGAACTTACATCGGACTTATTGCATACGCAATTCAAGATTCACCAGACAAGATGCTCACGTTCAAACAGGTAACATGACCTAAAAGTCGTAAATCTGCTAAATATAAGACTCCGCAGTCTTGACGCATGCTAACATATGCCCTATTTGTGCAGATAATGAAAAAGCTGGAACCATTTGTCTTCGGAGACAAAAAGGGCATTGAGAACAACATCAGAGTCTGTCTATCATCAAACAGGTGTTTTGCAAAGGTGAGTTTATTAAATTTATTAAATTTATATTTTATTTTGAGGCAACGAGTTACAATACACGTGTATAGGCTACTGTTAGTAACAGACTTTTCTATGTTTGTGTGTTTATAGGTGCCAGTCGATCCGGATTATCCAAATCCTAAAAAGAATTTCTGGAAAGTGGATGAAAATGGCATTACTCCAAAAATGTTTCGCCGACATTTCAAACATCTAATCAACATATTCCCTGGCCTGTCGATTCCGACACAACCGGTGGATGAGTGTGAAGACAATTCTTATGCCCCTGAGCCTCTTACTCCAGCCTGCGAGGTCACAGAAAACAAAAGTGAATGATCAATTTAGCCTTCTCAAATCAACATGACTTGCCTAAAATAAAACCTATAGACATAAAACCCTTCATGCAATTCACAATATTAATTTAAATATGTAACCTAGATAAATGTGTGCTGTTAGCAGTGTTGGGCAAGTTACTTCCAAAATGTAATACATTATATATTACTAGTTACTGTCTTTTGAAAGTAGTTACATTACAATATTACTGCATCTAATCAACATATTCCCTGGCCTGTCGATTCCGACACAACCGGTGGATGAGTGTGAAGACAATTCTTATGCCCCTGAGCCTCTTACTCCAGCCTGCGAGGTCACAGAAAACAAAAGTGAAGGCAAATTTACAGGCCCTTTTTCCATAGATTCGTTATTGAAGAGCGACCGCGAAGTGAAGCGCATGCGCAGCACGCGTTTGGAGGAACATGCACACTACATAGACGCACAGCGTGGAACGACCAAGAGAAAAAACGTTTATGAATATGAAGCTACTGTTTCAGCAGTAGGATGTGAACTGGCCTCAGCGAAAAGACCTCGTCTATCTTCAGGACCTCAGTTCGGACCGTCTCTGCCTCCACATATCACATATAATCACCATGTTCTCTTTAGCTCTCCTTTAATGTATGATACTAGATATGTCAGCTGGTGAACAGCCAGAATGACCACATATAAATAGGAAGAAATTGCACTTTGTTTTTGTTATTTTTTTCTTTTTTTAATAAAACAAACTTTTTCACATTTTTGTTTACTTTGCTTGATGACATTATCTTAAGGCATTTTCTGATAGCATAAATAGGCTATTGTATGTAGTCTATCATGATATAGGCCTAATCTATTTAAATATTCTAATTTTTATATCATATATACTACTTCAGAGTACTATATCTTATTTATAGAACATCATTATAACGGATAACATTTGGAACACATCCAAAGGCTGACATTACATATTTTTAAACACACAGTTTGATGACTTATAACGGAGAAACATGAAATAATTGATCTTTTAAACATGATTTCAGCCATATTAAATAGTTTTAACTTAACTTTTCCAAGTTTGTAGCTTAAAGTGAAAAATGTCTAATTATTCTTATTATAATTTAGGAAAACATAGGCCTATAGTCTATTAGAAAAAAAAAATCTTGATGTCCGGTATTTGTTAGGCTAACAGGTGAACTTAAATCAATCCCAAACATTAACATAACATTTCACAAAGTGAGATCTCAGAAAACAATGTAGCCTAGCCTATTTCACATACATAGCATTAACATAATGTTTGTCCTCGTCAATCAAAACAGGTCGATCATTATGTTAATCGGTGATTAGTACATCGTCCAAGATAAAGCTCACATAATAGTGGAGGAGCTATACTTTCCCGTAAAAACATGTTTGCTTTGCGGCCAGGGGCGTAGCGTCTTGTAGCAGGTGCATATGGGCCCGGGCGTATTGTGGGCCCGCCGAGCCGAGGGGGAACCTTTAATTGAAACGAGGGAATGAATAGATCCCGGCCCTTCCGACAGCTTATCAGAATTCTCGGCCTGAGTCTGACCCGAGCCCGTGTCATTTCTTTCTCTCTCTCTCTCTCTCTTTCTTCCCCTTTGCACAGCTGCTATTGCAGCAAATAGTCCAGTTTTGGTTCTTAATGGCAAAGTGGTTATATTTCTTTTCGTTTCTTTATTAAGTTAATTTAGAAATATGTTTGGAACATTTTATGTTTGTTAAATTCAAGTTGTTGTTGTTGTTGTATTTTTAAAGTAACGACCAAGCGGCCAGCGGCGGACTGAGTTGAGCATGTGTTTGATCAATTTAGCCTTCTCAAATCAACATGACTTGCCTAAAATAAAACCTATAGACATAAAACCCTTCATGCAATTCACAATATTAATTTAAATATGTAACCTAGATAAATGTGTGCTGTTAGCAGTGTTGGGCAAGTTACTTCCAAAATGTAATACATTATATATTACTAGTTACTGTCTTTTGAAAGTAGTTACATTACAATATTACTGTCTCTGAATTGTTATGCGTTACACTACTTTTGAGTTACTTTTGAGTTACTTTCACTAAAATATCCACATTAGTATTATAAAATGCCAAAATGTAGTCTATTTCTGCTCATTCTACATCCAGTGGAGGGTAATGTGGTAGGTCTATAGAATAAAATTATAAAATCATATAGCGCCGCGCCACACAAATAGCCTATGAACCAAACTCTTCGCATATTCATTCATTTTATATATACAACACTATGATTTAATAAAAACAGATTTTATTTTTAGTTAAACTTAATTTTTGTTGCTTGTCTGCACTCGTCCGCCGCCTTTTTCTCTTCTCCGACCCCGCAGCTCTCTCCGATAGCTTAGTGCTAGTGGCACCAGTCCAGGTGTTTCCAGGTTTTACTCGTGCTATTTCTCCATGTTGAGAGTTTGGTGTCGCACATATTGCACCTGACTATGCATTCTTATCCTTTTCTCCAATGAACTGAAAATAACAGGAGTGTGTCCATCTCACAAATGTAGAATCCGGCTCTGCAGTCATCTCAACCATCTAATTCCAGCAACAGGAACCGAGCCGAGGGGGAACCTTTAATTGAAACGAGGGAATGAATAGATCCCGGCCCTTCCGACAGCTTATCAGAATTCTCGGCCTGAGTCTGACCCGAGCCCGTGTCTTTTTTTTCTCTCTCTCTCTCTCTCTCTTTCTTCCCCTTTGCACAGCTGCTATTGCAGCAAATAGTCCAGTTTTGGTTCTTAATGGCAAAGTGGTTATATTTCTTTTCGTTTCTTTATTAAGTTAATTTAGAAATATGTTTGGAACATTTTATGTTTGTTAAATTCAAGTTGTTGTTGTTGTTGTATTTTTAAAGTAACGACCAAGCGGCCAGCGGCGGACTGAGTTGAGCATGTGTTTGATCAATTTAGCCTTCTCAAATCAACATGACTTGCCTAAAATAAAACCTATAGACATAAAACCCTTCATGCAATTCACAATATTAATTTAAATATGTAACCTAGATAAATGTGTGCTGTTAGCAGTGTTGGGCAAGTTACTTCCAAAATGTAATACATTATATATTACTAGTTACTGTCTTTTGAAAGTAGTTACATTACAATATTACTGTCTCTGAATTGTTATGCGTTACACTACTTTTGAGTTACTTTTGAGTTACTTTCACTAAAATATCCACATTAGTATTATAAAATGCCAAAATGTAGTCTATTTCTGCTCATTCTACATCCAGTGGAGGGTAATGTGGTAGGTCTATAGCATAAAATTATAAAATCATATTTAGATACCGGTATGTAGGTCTACATTAATGTTACGTTGTGGTTTAGGTTAAACACAGTGGAAGCTGAAGCGCGCTTTGCAGGACATGGAAGCGCCTGCGGGATCACTTGCATTTTTTTCTGAAGAGTGGAAACTTAACATTTGCCGTCATTTTTGCTCATTTTTGCTCGGAATTGTAAAGGGTCTACTTTTATTTGTGTGCACTCACAAGCAATATCAACAAAAACCTGTGCTTTTGTAAAATAATTAAGGAAAACAAACAGGATGCACTTTCTGTCGTCTTGGTCTTGAGCAGGGGTGCGTTTCCCGTACAACTACGTAACTCGCTGATTAACCACCATAGTACGATGCATCGTTGTGGAAACGAACTAGCTAGTCACGACTGTTTCCCGAAACCATGGTACCTGTGTCGCAGATCCATCGTTTAAACCACGTTGATTTCAGCTGTCGTTATGACGTTGTTCTTCTTCTTCTTCGATCTAATGTAGGCTAATCCGTAAAGATGTATTTCTCTCTAAAGGCGCACGTCCTGAGGAGATGGCAGTAAGGATCGTCAACTTCATCTTGTGACACTGACTCAGAAAATACTAGTTCATTAATAAATCATTCAATTATCTCCTTAGTATTTATTTATTTAGGCCTATTTATTGTTTTTTGGGCTTCTGTGCCAAGATTGTGTTTGCATGCAGTACAAATAGCCTATGGCGGCATTTTAGTACCATGTTAAAAAATAAGATTAAGTCATAATATTTTAAGAATAAAGTCAAAATTACGATAATAAAATCAGGTTATAGGCCTATTGCGTGAAGTTAATGTGAGAATTCCACCTATACTCCGCCAAAAATGTATAAATAAAATAAAATAATATAAAATAAAAAGTCAACCTGTCATTCTTCACATTTAACATAAAAAAACAACAATAAGAGGTAGGCTTATTTACGTTTTTTGAAGCTCTAATTGATTGATTTCATGAAACATTCGTTTGTATTAAATTGTTCAGATTTTTTCAACATGCATTCAAATATTTATTCATGTTTATTTCGTACTGCAGATATTAAAGTGGAAAATATAATTGATTCAAATGCTGCTTGAACGTATATCTCACAGCAAATTTAGAAGCGTAAAAACACATTTATTGTTTGTAGTATTTTATTATAAAGTTGACAGAAGGCTGACACTTTGTGTTTTAATATAAGTAACAAAGCACAAAGCTTATTGCGATTATTGGGTGGCTTGCGTGCTACAAATGATGAATGGACTTGAAAACGTTAAATATTATTTCCAAGCATTTATACCGTAAATAAAACAGCTTGTGAATACAGGTAACGTTAATCACTTCAGAAAAATCAACAATAAGTTAACCGAGTTGGAGCCAATAACGTTTGGGGGGGCCCATACAAATTTTTTTGCATATGGGCCCGGGGCTGACTTGCCACGCCACTGTTTGCGGCACAAGGTTTATTTTCGCATTTGCCACGGGGTGGCGGTAAAATGTTAAAGTTGGATATTGATGTAAATTACATTAAAGCAACTAAAGAACATTGACTTATTAATTCATTAACGATATAGACCTAAACTCGGGAGTATAAAATTGTTTGGAAATGGACTATAATTTGTGTTATTTCTATTGATTTCATTTTTAGTCTTTTGAAAGCTGATGCCAGTTTTGACCTGTTTTCTGAAACCAGCAGTAACTTGAATGCTTGAAACCTTTTTTGTCGAACAAGTTTCGATTGTTCCCAATAACGCCATGATTCTGCATTATTTACCCAAAACACACTGTAAACATATTTTTTATGATTCTGCATTATTTACCCAAACCACACACTGTAAAAAAATATTTTTGTAAGGTAAAGTTGTAAATAAAAGAAAGATTACTATAAATATTAGCTTTTTTTTTTAATATATTAAACCATAAAGCAAATAATATGTTACCCTGGACCACAAAACCAGTCATAAGGGTAAATGTTTTGATATAAATAATATATCAATTCTGAATAAATAAGCTTTCCATTGATGTATGGTTTGTTAGGATAGGATAATATTTCGCTGAAATACAACTATTTGAAAATCTGGAATCTGAGGCTGCAAAAAAATACAAATATTGAGAAAATCGCCTTTAAAGTTGTCCAAATTAAGTCCTTAGCAATGCAAATTACTAATCAAAAATTAGGTTTTGATATATTTACGGTAGGAAATTTACAAAATATCTTCATGGAACCTGATCTTTACTTAATATCCTAATGATTTTTGGCATAAAATAAAATTCAATATAAAAATCAATAATTTTGACCCATACGATTCATTGTTGGCTATACCTGTGCTACTTATGACTGGTTTTGTGGTCTAGGGTCACGTATAGTAAATTACAAGTATAAAGGTTGTGGATTGAACCGACATTTAAAAAAAAATATATTTTT